CGGGGGGAGGGGCAGGGATCTGGGATACCCTCGGCTCTTTCTGCTGCTCAGGAGGGGTCTTTAGGTTGGCACTGTCCTCTCCGGTCTGCGAAGCACTTTCCTGCCCATTACCCAGAGATTCTCCCCCAGGGCCAGTGACTTAACTTCTCTGTGCCTCACTTATACCACCCATTCAGGGGGCTCGTAATTGTCATTAATAACAGCCCCATAGGGCAGGGAAGACAGGTACGAGTGCCCCATTTTACAGAGGAAGACTCTGAGGCTCAGAGAGGCCCACAAGCAGTAAGCGCCCAAGGCGGGACCACACCCCAGCTCTCCTGACTCCTACTCCACGCTGTTCCAAATTCCCGGGCCTGGGGCAGCGGCGCCCACTCACCTTCCTTTCCGTGTCCCAAGTCCCAGTGGTCATGCAGAAATGCACAATTCAGTCCTTCGAGCTCATCTTAGAGCTCCTGGCCTGTCTCTAGAGGGCACAGTTCAGTCCTTCAAGTTCATCTTAGAGCTCCTGGCCTGTCTCTAGAGGGCCATAATCGCAGGACTGGTGAGAACAGCAGCAATATCAGTAATAGCGGCAGCAACAATGGCTGCCACACCCTGAGCATCTACCGTGGGCCAGGCACCAGCCTCACGCTTCATGCGTGGGACTTAATTTGATGCTTACAATGATCCATTTTAGAGATGGGGAAACCGAGGCTCCAGAAACACAATAACGTCCTGGTAATGGGTTCAGTAAACAGTGGAGGTGAGATTCAGCCCCACATTGGTCTGACTCCCAAACCTATACTCTTTAACTGGGTGCCGTGCTGCCCCTCATGGTCCCTTGGGAGCGATTCCCGTGCTGTCATCTCTGGCATGGCCTCGGGCTGCCCGCAGCTCCATCTCATGGTGGCCAGCGCTGCTGCTTAGAAGTGAATCTGAGCCAGCATCCCTCCTGAGTCCCATCGCCGTCCACGTCGCGGGGAGCCTGGGACAACAGCTTCCCTCTCGCCGAGCTGGGGGAATGCTGCCACCCGCCCCCCCACCCCCGACCCGGAGATGGGCAGTGTGCACGTCTAGTCAGCACCCTGAGAAAGCCTGCTGCTCAGATACTGGTCTTACTCAGCGTTTCCCACACTCACTCAGCCGCAAACGCGTTTTTCGAGGCATCCCTAACTGTGTGCCGTGGAGCAATAGTACTTCGGTGTAGGCAGTATGGAAGAGGCGGACCTAAATCAGGCTTTCGCAGCAGGTGGCTCCACTGAGGGCAGTGAGTCCATGTCGTTAGTTGCCCCACCCCTAGTTCCAGGTGTGGAAGGGGCTGGATTCTCTTCGGATGTCTATTGACAAGTGGCTGTGGAGGCCCCTCTGAGGCACCATTGTGATGAGGCCCGGCTGGTTCAGGCTCTAAGCTCCTTCCTGGGGAGATACATCTTGCTCCGGTCACCCCTTTCTGTGCCCGGCTATCCCCAGCTGCTCCCCTGCCCCTCGTCCCCCTCTCTTGAACTCCACATCCCCCCTCCCGTGCCCACCTGCAGATGGACGACGCGGGACAGTACCAGTGCCTGGCAGAGAATGAGATGGGCACAGTGGAGAAAGTAGTGGTCCTCGTGCTGCAGAGTGAGTCTCGGCCTCCCCCTCTCTCAGGCCCCGGGTGGGGACAGTGTGACATGGGATCTCAGAGGCAGCCGTGCCTGGCTGTGGCCGGTGGGACCCAGGCTCTGATGAGAATGGCGGGCAGAGAGGCAGGCAGGACCAGGGACCAATGTGCATTCCAAACCCAGAACTGCAGTCCTGTGGAATGTCCCCGAGGCGGAATGGGAGTCAGGATCAGAGCTGATGAATACCAGGGACCCAAGAGCCAGGCCTGGGGGGACCATTTATCCAAAACTCAAAACAATCACTGAGGTCGTAGTGACGGCTCTTAGATTTGCCAAGCAGCTTCGAGTTTACAAAGCGCTGCCTTTGAGCCTCAGAGTAACCCAGAACATCACAAAAGACATAAACTCAAACAGGACAAACTCAAGTCTTCACCGAGACACATCGCAATCAAACCTGCCAAAAATTACAGGCAAAGAAGATGAGGCTCCATCGATACATCTGACTGTAGCTCTGGAGTATTCAAAGTTCAAGCAGTTTGAGGGGTTGATCAGGAAAGGCCTTTCTGGTGGGGCGACATTTACATTGTGATCTGAATGATGGGAAGGAGGCATCCACGTGACGAGCTGGGGAAAATTGTTGGAAGCAGGAAGGACAGCAAGTGCAAAGGCCCTGAGACGGCGGCGAGCCATACCGGTCAGTCCTGACGGCTCAGAGGGCCGGTCTGGACTCAGTCCACTTGGGAGTGTTCTTGGCTCAGCCATCTGCTCTGTGACCCTAGGCAAATCATGTAATTGCTCTGTCACACTTAAGTTTTCTTGTCTTTAAAACAGGCATAATGATAGAACAGGCATCATAAGTAGTCGTGAGGCTTAAATGAAATAATGTGTGTAAAACGGGCATCGGCCCCGTGCCTGACCCGTAGTAATTCATCAGTAAATGCCACCTATTATTATTTTTTCCCCAAACTTTTGATATTTATTAAGATTTGATTTCCGTCTACGGCCATGCCACCCTGAACAAGCCCGATCCCATCGGATCTTGGAAGCTAACTAAGCAGGATCGGGCCTGGTTAGTACTTGGATGGGAGACCACCTAGGAAGACCAGGTGCGGTCGCTGTAAAAAATAAAAAAAAATAAGGGATTGTAAGCTGACAAGGTCCTTGCAATCTGTGAGGTCAACCAAGGGTCGCCTCGCCTTAAAAAAAAAAAAAAAAATTTGATTTTCAAACCACTTTTCTGAGGTATGATCAATGTTTTTAAAACACACACACACACACACACACTCGGGCCATTTTCGAGTCATCCACGGCTCCCTCGTTCCCAGGTTCTCTTCACTACGTTTCTGGCGAGCCCCCTGGTCTCCTGGACCCGGGCCAGGACCCCCGGCCAGCAGAGCCAAGGGCTGCTCGTTCCTCATTTGTTCCCAACCTGTCCGGCTCCTTTTCCTGACGATACCCTGGCTTCTCAGAGACCATTTCCTCCGCTCCTGCCAATCAAGCCAGCCCCACGTGATAGTCCCAACAACACTGCTGGGATGACCACGGAGGGATGGGGGCGGGAGAGGGGGGCAGCCCAGGCAGGGAGGCCACGCACTTCCACTGTTCTTGCCCAAAGTTCTAGAAGTTTCCACGGATAAACGATTCCCTGTTCGCTTTTCGTTGATTTCTAGAGCCCCGAAATCATTGGTTTTGACAATTTTGTCACGTGTCGCGCTTGTTTCTTTGGCGGGAGCCGACTTGCCGACCTCTTCGTTCGGCGTGGCTTTCATTTGAAGGGAGCCCTGTCATGTGCGCTCGGTGTCACGCGCCTCGTGCCCGTCGTCGTTTGGGAGATTGCACGTGGAATTCACTCATTCGTACCCGTTGCCGTCTGCTTTTCTGCTGTGCGGGTTCATGAGGTTGATTTATGTGTTCCACTGTAGGTGAGTCTCCGGTTTGGGGCAGTTGAGGACTGTGCTGCAGTGACATTCTGACGCGTGGCTTCTGGCGAACACGCGTATGCATTTCTCCTAGGGGAGCTGCTGGGTCACATATAGTTCACGTGCACTCAGCTTCAGCAGACACGGCCTGGGGTAGGCTGATAAACGGCCCCCAAAGATAGGACCGCGTCCTAATCTCCAGAACCTGAGAAAGTTCTCTCATTTGGAAGATGGACCTTTGCGGATGTGGTTAAGTTAAGGACCTTGCCATAGGGAGGTTATCCGAAATGCCATCACCCGCGTTCTTAGGAGACAGGCCGAGGGAGATTAGAGAGGGAGAGGAGGGTGCTGTGAGATGGAGGCCGAGAACGCAGGGGTGCAGCTTTAAGCCACCGGCTGCTAGAAGCCACCAGAAGCAGGAAGGCCTGTCGTAGGAAGTGGACAGGAAGTATCATCTTTCAGGTGAGAGAACTGAGGGTCAGGGAATGACCGGGTGAGAATCACTCACCGGTGACAGAGCCCGCATCTGCCCATTTCATCTGGCATCAAGTCGACGCCGTTCTGGCAAGGGTCACCCTTTTACTGGAAGCAATCTAAATGTCCTATGACAGGGACATTGTTCAGCAGACCCTAAGGGAGTCCCAACAATAGGACACCACGTAGCCACTGAAAACAAAAATTTGGTGGCACAAAAGGTAGTCGTGATCTGTTGTGGGGTTTTAAAAAAAGGAAGGAAAGCGGTCATTCCGTAATCTGAGTGACTATGTATCATTTGAATGTACTAAAATAACAAAATGTTCCTAAAAGCTGCCCTGGGGCCTCCCACTGGTGTCCCTGGGTTTCAGGCGCAGCCCCAGGGGGTGACAGTGAGATCCGGGGATGCCGTGTCCTGCGGTGCTGGGCCACCGGGGAGCCGGTGCCCACAGTAGAGTGGCTGCATGCGGGCCAGCCGGCAGCTCCAGACCCTGCCAGATAGGAGCCTGGGGCAGGAGCCGGTGGAGGCTGGGGACACGGGCGCATGTGAAGT